GATTAGCAGCTACACGGCCAGTCGCCTTGTCGTTTTCCTGTTGACCTTCGTCCTGCCTTGGGCATTAAGCTATTGTAGAGAAGACTAACCTGCCTCTTGGTCTGGGCAATTGTCAGACAGCAGCCATCCCCTCAGGCACCAGACCAGGGCCGCTGGGTACCAAGCAAGATGCAGAAGGGGGGAGTATTCATGGTCAGGGATGAAGGTGAAGGGCCACCCAAAGTGCTGGTACCATGCAGACCAAGATCTCAGCCTCCTTCATAATCCTGAGAGACTAGCCAGGGCAGCGAGTGGTAAGTAGCCTGTTCCTCCCCTGTAACTATGGGGGCCAAGATTTGGGTTGAGTCCTGACTACTGTTCCTTCTTTGTGGTCTAGTCAAACACAGTGAGGTGTGCCACAATGTCAGTCTCAGTGATGACCTTGTTAAGAAACAGGTGAGCAGCAGGCTGGATCCTCATGGTTTCTCTTCAGTCCTGCGAAAGGGATGCACTGAAGATGTTGAGAGACCTTGCCCAAACTAGTAATAGTTTCTTGGTCCCATCTTAGGGATATCTGCACTAGTTGCTGCAGCACACCAACTATTCAGGTACCTTCTGGATCATGGGTCAGGTCCTGCAGGTTGGCGTCTCCTCCTGCCCACATCTACCGCTAGTGTGGCAGATAAGGAGATACAGGAGACAAGGGTGCAGGCAAATACCCCTTGAGGACCAAGGTTTATTTAGAAAAAAATATACAAAAGGGTCAGTCAGGTGGAGGCTGTAAGATTAATTTTTGTAGACAGGGCATGCATAGCTGGCTTGCCTTCTCCTGTCTCTTGACGTCTTTTCCAGCATGGCCTTTTTAAGCCTTTCTAAGAAACTAAGACCTGGTCCATAAAGCTTGTTGCCACCCTATTGGCCAACAATAAGGAAACTGTTACCCTGAGTGGTGCTGATCAGTCATAATTAACTATGATAAATTTAGATTCACTAAAAATATTACATTCATAGCAACAATAAAACAGGCCATTTCATAGCATTGGTAGACAGCAAAATTGCATTGTTTATGTGCATGAAAGCAGTAATGCTGGATTTAATTGTTTATGTGAATGATTTTATCGCTTTCATCTAAGGATCCCCTTTATTTGCAGGATAAAGCTTGCATTTCATTTATTGACATATTGATGTATAGTCCTTTTGACAAGAATGTGGCCCCAAGGTCTAACAGCCCACCCTGGCGGACCCCCCATCCCATTCTCCTGTTTTTCAGGACACCTTCACGTGTCACTTGCACATTCCTCCCACACCTTTATGAGCCGGCGAAGCCCTGGTGATGAAAGCACGTCCCATTCGCCTCGCGGTCATGGTGGGAGGGCACATTCAGCTCATTGCATAAGTTCATGCTATATTTAAGAAGAGCAGATTAACAGAGGTGTGGAAGACACACCACCTATCTCACATGTCTATCAGCAAAGATTAAAATGTAAAACAACAAAAAAAACAGGGTACTCTTGTTTTAATTGTTAAATTACCTTTATTATGCCTGTAGAACACCTCTACAGCACCACAATGAAGGAAGGAAAAACATAACATGATTAAATTATTAAAGTATAAAGAAATTTTAAAGTGCATTTTTCTGTTTCTTACGTTACTTTTTATGCTACTAAAGTTTGTTTCAATAACTTTTTCCATTTTAATAATTAAATTGAATTTAATAAATGTTAAAAACATTTAGGCCTGCTTAAATGCATTGACTTACTCAGACCCAGGGGCCTCCACTAGCAAGGGGCCCCAACTAAAATCTTCAGTGTTGTTATTTAGCAATTGAGCTAATGACCGACTACTGAAGCCCCTAGGGTGAAAATGGGCGGTGAAGTCTGCTGGGGGGGGGGGGGCACTATTTGAAAACTCAAATAGCCCAAGGGCTTCTGACCACATTAATGTGTCTCTGAACGAGTTACAATCCTTTCACCATGGTACCTGAAGCTGAGCACTACCTAAATGGACCAGGTGGAACGTGGTCTGCAGAGACAGAACACCCAATAAATTGCAGTTATGTGACACCCTTTAGGGCATGAGCAGGTCATGTGTCTCCATTGAAGACATCCTGTTAGGAGATACACGATGGCTCAAATGACGTGGACTAGGAGAAAAGTGCAAGGCAAGTGTGCTGTATGCAGGGGTCATACAGTATGCGTGTCTCTGTGCACTGATCTCATTCTTTCAATTGCCTGATATGTAAAAATGCCAAAAATAATGTGGAGCATTGTTAGCATTCTTGTTTTTTATTCTCATGCCTGCTTTCCATATTGCTCCAACCCATTATATTCATCCATAGATGCCCCTGGGCAAAGGTTTTAGGCTCTAAATCGTGCAGCCTTGTTCCTGCATATATGCCAGCTGAGACCCTTATCCAGACTAATCATGTAGTTCCTTTTTTGCCTCATTGGCCATAAATATTGTGTCCCGTTCAGAAGCATTTCACTGGGCTTGCTGACGTTACTCTCTGTGTCGCAGGACAGTCGCCCCAGGCTAAGAACGTCCAACTTGCGGAAAACTCGTCATTACAAATGGACTGCCGTAATGTCTGTTAAATTAAAAACTGGGTTAAATACAATGTTTCGTAATAACGAACACATGCAATACTTTGTTACATTTGTGAAAACATTGACTGGCTTCAGAGGTTCATCAGCTGGAGGTCTAGTACATAGCAACATATGTGGTTACTTTTCTTATTACTGTGTAATTATTGTTCTTATAATGTACTGTATTATTATTATTTCCAACTTACGTACAAATTTGACTTAAAGACAGACTTAGGGATCTGATGTCATTGTACCCTGGGGACTGGAGACACACTATTAGTAAACATGCTTAAAGGAACGCTTTATTATTTCATTACATCCACGGCAGATTCTTCTACATCATAATCCCCTGTGCCTGCTTCCTAAAAACCTTACGGATTTTGAAGGGAGAGGATAAACGTTGCATGCAGGTCGCTGAGGTGCTGAATATACATGTCTGAACCAGAGAAAACACACATGCAACTGATGAAATTATGTTTCAGGTGATTTATGGATGGGGGGGGGGGGTAAGCAAAGAACACCCCCCAACTCATTTTCCATTCCTCATAATCTCTAATTACAGTCTTTTATTTATCCTCATCCTTACCTCATTCAATTCATTGTTAATCGTTTCCTATTTTTGTCCTTGTTGTAGGGCATTTGAATGGATCTTTGGTATATATTAGACATTGTGTGGGTTAACTCTTACCTGTACAAATGTTTCCACGTTTCAACATGCCGGCAGTTCGGCTCAGTAGCTTACTTGCATTCTCTGGCTCTGTTAATGTATATTTAATAGACCTACCTGAGCAACAACCTCCTTTAGGTTAGGGTGGGGTTTGTGCTGAGAAGCTGGTGTCCAGCAAATTTAGCTGATTAATACTCCCCAGTTTTTTTATTGTAAAATAAACTAATTTCGCAGGAGCAAACAATTGTTGTCCTTGGATTCCCTGAACTCATGTGCAACTGCGATCCATAAGGATATGGATTATAATTCACTGCACAGCAGGTCTTAAGCAGGTATAATATGTAAAATATGTTACTCACCGGTTGAATGACTGCTGCTCAGGTACAGTGATTTATATTTATTTGCTTGGTTGATAGTTTTATCCAAATAAACTATTTTTTTTGCCAGTTTTTACAGTTTGGTATTTTACTGGTGCATTCAGCACCTAGTTCAAGGATATTACCTCAGGGCTTCTCCTGGGCCACCTGTCACCCTCTTACACTTATATTTATTGAACAATAAATCATTAGGTCCCTTAAAAAGTATTAGGTCTGTTAGCTCATGATGGTCATTGTTAGCTACCAATTTGTAATTAAAGATTAACTAATCAAAGCCTTCAGTGCTGTACTTTCAGATTAATGATACTGTACTTAGCTAAATGTTTCATTAACCAGGTACCAAATGAAAAGTCATGGCACGGATCCAGCAACAGCAGCGCGAAACAGAATGGCAGCCATAAATCAAGGGCTACCACTGGGATCCAGGTGCATGCAGGTGTGCGCATTGAGCGACCCATGAAATATGAGCTTGTTAACAAGGTGGCAGGAGGATCAGGGCCATCTCAGACCAACACAGGTATTAAACACCAAATTCCTTGGGAATGACTCAAAGCAGGTTTAGGAGAAACGTCTCACTGAGGTTAGCCGGCACCTTGATCACCCCTAGAATTTAGGTTGTTAATGTTAAAGAAAGAGACACTTGTGTTTTATGACCCAGTGGGTTTGTGGTTATGCCAGCGTAGCACACACATGAAAAGTACAGGGCTGGAGCCCTTGCATAATGCCTTATACTTCTCATATTTGTATAACTAACAAACGTTAATACAAAGTATAATTTTGCTATTGAGAATGGAATTTCTCTACAGCATTCCAAATAGTGGGCTTTTTTGGTTCTTTTTAGCAGTCTTTTTGATTTTTTTCCCCTGGAATTCTATAATTAACACTTCATTGATGGATACCCCACCTTCTGTTGGAAGCCACATTGCATGTTCAGATGCACAGTGGTGTTGTCCAGACAACGCATCACAGAAGAGTAAATGAAGCAGATAGCAAAGCTTTCTATCACCCTATTGCAAACGACTCTACACTTTAGCCAAATGGTTTCCATGACACCCTTGGCTCAGTGCTTTAAAGCACAAACACCTCTATATGCTTCACCAATCAACTTCTCACCCTCCCAAGTGTTCAATTATCCTAAACCTTTCAAGCATCAACAACATCGCTTATGAAGCTGTTTTTCAGATCTTTGAATGTGTTAAAGTGAGGACATATGATTAATGATGTCTTTTGAAGTTAGGTTGTTTTTAGTCTGTATAAGTCTGTAATTTCTGTGATAGTCAAGATCTCAAAATGTCACTATAGCATTTTACATCCAACATTCAAAACAACTTCAAGGGAGGATGGCGTTAAAAGATAATTATGTTTCCTTTTTTGTGGTGGAGATGGATGCTATAGAATGCAGTAGTTTTATTAAACAAATATAGCTATTATTTTTCTGAAACAAATCCAAAGCATAATACACTAGCAATTTTGTGATTACTTCAGTGTTATATTAGACTTTGATCCAATAAATCCTCTAACACCAAAAGCGACTTGCAAAACTGACTGCAGCACTGTGATTTGTTATCAATGTATGGTAGAACATTGGCCTGATCATCTGATTTTTTTGAACCTACGATCATTACCTTTGACAGTCTTGCACCAACAATATACTGAAGACAACCTATGTCATCCAAACCTTTTTCTATGTCAGACAATGCGATGAGTCTCACGTCAATCAATGCAGAACAGAGAGTTAATCCAAAAAGGCAGCAGGCATATTCCTGTTCATGTATTGGATAAATGAAGCAGGTTGTACACATATACTCTATTTTCCACTGAAATAACACATACTTAACGCACCGGCCAAATCGACAGCAACCAATATTTTAGTATATGCCAGGCTTTGTCAACTGAGTCAGACAGAAAGAGGCATGAACAGGACAAATATGCATCAAGCAACCATATAAATTAAACAGTCATACAAAAATAGCTTCTAACAAAATACTCTATATTCTTTCAACAAGTATTTTCCACACAAGGGAAAAATTGCTGAGAGTATGATTATTGCTACTGGTTAAAAATATTTGTTAGAATAGTCAATGTGGCATCAAAAACAATTAAAGTTTATATTTTTGTTTTTCAATCACAGCTTCTCGCTTTGACCAACCATCAAGAATCATTTCCAAATAATTACTGTATGCATTTTCAACTCTGGCAACTTTTTATAGCGTATAATGATTCCAGAGTATTTTTCAGCAGCTGGGTAAAGCTTCATGGTGCCACTTTTCATATTAGTATTAAAAAATACGCACTCATGAACATCAGTAGGCAACACAAAAAGGCTCGTGGGAGTTTTACTTACAGAAAAATTTTGAGGGCAGAATTTAAAAAATGATTAACTCAGATAGATAACCAATCAGACTGTAGAGGAGGTGGGTCTAAGCAATTAGAGGAGGCAGGACCAAGACATCTGATTAGTTAGTACTGCCTCCTCTATTTGCTTGGACCCACCTCCTCCACAATTTGATTGGTTATCTCACTGAACCAATCATTTTTTGTTCTGCCCTCAGAACTTTTTTTCGTAAATAAAACTCCCATGAACCACAAAAAGGCAACTGGAAAGGCTTTACATCATCCCAGGAAATGTATCAGTAGTCTCTGTCCCCTTAACGAAATCAGTAAGAAAAAGTATCAGTAGTTTTCTCATTAAATATATTAATATTATATCTATATAAAATGTTAAATATCACTATATAAACCATGGCAAAAAAGAGAAAGTTCAGAACTTCTGTTCCATTGTACCACAGGTGAAGGTATGCTCCTGTACCACTGTTGTAGATAGGCCCTTGTACTGGTGTAAGTGCTAAGAATTCCTTTACAAACTGACAGCGATGGTTGGGGCAGGATGGGTTTCCCACTTATCACAGTTTTGGCCCGCAACGCCCCTGGTGCTGACCAGAGGGAATCCGGTCCTCCAACAAGCTGTAAGGCATGCTTTCTGGGATCATTCCATCTCGTTAGCTTCTGTTCTCCCCATACTTTGATATCATATTCCTCGTGAAACCTCAGTGCTGTTTCCCTTTGCGTCCCCACATTCCATGGCAGCAAAGTCTGAAGGGGAGCCATCACCAAATGCAGATCAGGCCAAAGAACTCCGAACGAGCAAAAGCTGTCTATTCCCTCCCATTCCATGTACGTCTCACATTGCAAGATAGCAAACGAAAAGCATAAGACACATGCTTCACTTGCATGTATAAACCTCTGTCCTCTCACTGCAGGTGTTGCACTTAACATAGCAGCACCAGAGGAACTTACAGTTGCACTGCCAGACACGTGAGTACTGGTGCGTGTTGTAGCCACGGCCGCAGCACATCAAGTCGCAGCTGCCAGGCTGTTGCGCTGTCCTGTTGCACGCCCGGCCACGTGTGCCCACGCTGCCTGTCGCCGGGTCTCCCTCGCAGTAGTTGGGAGACTTATCTATGTAGACCAGGTCCGTGACCAGCGGCTTGCGGTACGAGTTCGGCTTCTTGATCTTGAGAAAAGGCCGCCTCTTGTGATTGATGACCACAGGCTCCACGTGTACTGCTATGCTATACTTGTCCTTCAGGATGTGGCCCAGCTCACGGAACTTGGGCAGCGTGGTCCAGCAGGTTCTGGTCGTGCAGGACCCCGACACTCCATGACATTTGCACTCTTGCTGCATGTTCTTCTCTAAGATCTGAAAATATTGGCAACATAATTACTGCTATGGAAGCATTCGACATAGGTTCCATAGATTAAAGAGGGAGTCCCTGCAGCCTTTTATTGACCTAAGCAACAGATCTAAGTTCTAATCTGTGCAGTGTGTAAAGAGCAATGAGGGCTATAGTGTACCATATTAGGCAAACAATTAGTTCTATTAAATTGCATTTGATTTCTGATTTGGGAACAGGCTTTGGTGGCTTCCAAAGGAAAATTTTCCAGAAGTTTATAGACAGCCAGTAACAAACAACTTGGATCATATTAGCCCACCATACAAAAAAATCATAGCTGCTGTCATAACATGAAGACAGTGCATCCTTGATCACAGCTTCCTAGACGTGGAAAGTAACGACTGGAATAGTTTTACAGGCTGAGACAGGGCCCCTTGCTCATTCCATGCAAGCAACACGGCAGTTTTTCAATTCATTGTGCAAGGACACAGTTGGTTTCACACTCTCAGTAAGAAGAAAAAAACACAACAGCTGAACAATCAATACATACAGTACACACAGAAATGTTTATTTACTCCTCTCACTTTACTTCAATACTAATAAACTGATAAAACACAAAAACTGTTTGTCCAAAATAATTTGGGTACATTTTTTATTAAGAAAAAAGAAAACTGATTGAAAATGTGCTCTGTAAAATAGGTGGACAGAGATACACAGCCCAAACATCAAGCAGACTGCGTAAGCTAGCATCCCGCGACATGAGACCTGATGCACGTGTCTCCATACTCTGCGGTGACACATCGCCTTGCTGTGGAAAGTCAAGCAGCAGGAGTTTGGTGGTTTTGACTGAATGGATGTGAGAGAAGCGGAAGGAGAATAGATGCAGGCAGGCTGCCCAGGACTTTCAGTTTTTCATGCTGTCACACTGTGCAGAAGAGGGAAATCCTGTGCAACATACTGAAGAATCTCTCATTCCTCCTTTTCACCTTGTCATCCTAAATACTTGAACACAGCACACAGAAATTAGAGTCTGACTGCAAGTAAGCGGCAAGTCTGTCTGTAAAAATCTAAAAAAAAAAAAAACGCCTTAAAATATGAAATTCAGTACAAGTCAATACAGTAAATACAATTAGAAATGCTTGCGCAACATATTTCTTTACAAATAACGCTGCAAGACAAGTATTGATGTCTCCCTCATTTCTAAGATTCTGCATTTACCTTATCTGATACTGAGAATGGCTGAGCTCGTCAGGGTGACGCATACTGGTGAAGACTTGCACTCTGCCTGCATTTTAGCTGCAGGGTAAATGCTTTCCCAGCCATTGTAAGGATGTGGATTGATGAGAGTGTGAAGCTCTTTTTAACTCTCTCATTCACTCTTTTATTTATTGTTGTTCTTGCCTTTATTTGAAGTGCTGGATAAAAGCCCTTTGGTCTTCCTGGATGGACAAGTGACAAACACGGTAATATATTTGTTTCACTTGCCACATACCATAACAGAGATGGTATTTAAATTTACAAAATTATTTAATTATTAAATATAGGCCTAATAAAATCATCTCACTGCTAACGACACAAATCAAGAAAACTATTTAACTGTTTAGTTGCCATAAAGAAGAACAGATGAGTATTTTTGGCGGTTTTTAGCATGTATATAAAATACTTCAACTTTTTACGCTTGGGACGTTCTAGCATTCCAGGCATTTCTCCCAGTCCTGCCTGCGGCCCAATCAAACTTTTATTGTGTGATTCTGCTCAAAACAAATGCAACACCATCTTCCGTGTTTGTTGATATTACATTAATTTCAGCTACAGTAAACTCCTGCAAAGAAGCTTGATACTGATCTGTGTTCACGTTTTATTTCAAATGAACTTCAAAACCCACTGATAACTTCTCTGAAAAAGACTACAGGTTCCATGATGCATTGCAAACCATCCACCTTTCATTACATAGTGACAGGAAGCTGAAAGGGTGCATAAAGGGTGTCCATTTTCAGTGTGAGGTGGTTATGCCTTACCGCTACCTTTATAATACAGTAAATCATCCTTAATTCTAATACTGACCATTACAATGAATTATAAAGGTATCTATAGTGCATTATAGATGAGAGCTTCACTGGAGTTTAAGAAGTATTATAGTCCACAGTATAATGTCATTGTAGTGCATTATAGATGAGAGCTTCAAGGACAGTGTTACCATTTATATTTAACAAAAACATCAGTTACCCAACATCAGTATCTCATTATTAGCACAACCCCAAATTTTGCACAGCTTTTATAAACGAGCTGCAGCTGAAATATTGTCCGTTTGTTTATTAATGACTGAGTTTGCACAATGTTCTCAATACACAAGTATAATTTTTAACTTTTATAACACGTAATTGTCAGAGTGAGCCAGGAACCCCAGGGAGGGGACACCCCAGGGAGGGGACACCCCAGACGGGGTGCCGGCCCACCATGGGACAGACACGCACACAATTAAGCGATAGGAGCAAGTTACGCCAAATTAATGAAACAATATCAGCAAGAATTAACACAAAAAAATTAGGTATAATGCAAATTTCCAATGGAATACCCATCTGCCACCTTCCCTTTTCACTTAAGCCACCAAATAAAAATTACTTTAGTGCTGGTCTTCTCATCCATCAGCAGCTGTGACTGAAACATGTGACAACCATTCTATCCCTCGCTGACCTCAATGCCATTAGCCTGATTAGCATAAAACCTCTGTTGAGGCCCTTTAACAAAGGGAGGAAAAATATGGGTGTAAGATGAATGCAGTTAATGCTGTGAGGCATCTGGGCCATCCAGAGAAGGTGGCACATACTGAGTGTTGAAGAGTTGCCATGGTGAACGGCTTGGCCAAACCCAAGTGGAGCCCTTCAGCGAGGCTGGGAACGTGCAGGTCGGATGAATCGGCTCTCTGTGGTGCAGGAGAGTCGCTGGAGGGAGCTGAGACAGCACTACCGGCTCCTGCCTACTGCTGCGGCCTCACGCAGGCTTTCAGTCGGCCCGCTTTTTGTCTTTGGCCAAGAGGAGCAGACTGTGTGGAGTCAGTGACGCCCCCTCCTGGCAGCCCCAGCTACGCGGCAGCATCGGCACTCATGCTAACTAAGCCCTGTTTGTGTTGTCGATGCAAAGGTGAGGCGTCAGTGGCACCGCAGACCCGCTGCATGTCTCTGGGCTGCTGAATACTGAGATACACTTAAATTGACTTGAAGTGTGTGTATGGGGCCTAATAGCAGCTACATAAGGGCTCTGCCTTTTTCAGAATCCCCACGTTTCTCTGGACAATGTCATCATCTCTGTTGCATCTCTTTAATGAGGCTACCTCCCCTTTTAGTGCAGAATAGCTAATCAGTTACCAGCCGGCCAATCAGATCCTCAGCTGCTTAGACATCTACTCTTAGACCAGTGTTTTCTTCTGTAACTTTGACGTTTTTTGGGGGGGGGTGGGTTTCTTTTGAGATTTTAGGCTCGGGCGAAGCTTTCATGCAGGTATAATGTTGCCACATGTAATGATTAATCGTACCAAACTCTGCCAATAACCTCCACAAAGAAACAAGGTCACCATGGGAATGGAATGCGCAGGCCATAGTGCACCTACCTTGCGTCCGGCCTCGTTGTTGTGCAGGTTCATCAGCGCCCTGGGATTCTTCTTAACCTCCCTGGCGTCCACGAACACCTTGGAGAAGTCCAGGCCGAAGCGGATATCTGCTGAGCAGCCTCCCCACCTCCAGCCTTCTTCATGGTCATAGAAGCCTTGTTTCTCTTGGTCACAGTCACAGTCGCTCAAGTTGCCCTGTGCACAGGCGGAGGTGACGGCGTGGGCCACCCCGGCGGAGATGATGGCGTAAGTGAATGCTGCCTCCTTGCTACCTGGACCAGGGAAGACATTTTCACTGGGATCAGATCCAGTATTTCACTGCTGTATTGAAGTGTTGCTTGTCCCTATATGTTTGCAAGGAAAACCAGCATATGTATCACTGGATACCGTGTTAGTTTAACACTAAAGAGATCATTTCCCTTCATGCTATAAATAAAGCACTAATTACAGAGTTAATGACGCCCGCAAGGGTCACAAGGGCTGAAAAACAATGACAACAATAAAATCACAATCAATTTTCTTCTTAAGTGTAGCAAAAGTCTGAAGATGGGCGACTGCAACAGGAAGGAAAGGTCAGTCTGCCCAATGAGTACAATGAACGAATAAAGTGTTTATTTAAGAGACAATACAATGGAAAAAGATAGAGGATTTGTATGTAGACTCCAGCCTGGGCACAGTCCCAGCCTCTATCACATGTGGAAGATGACTGCAGTGGGCAGAGCCCCAATCATTTGTCATTAAAATGATTGTTTGAAGGCATGGGAGTGTTTGTTATTTCTGGGGCCCCACTCAAAAATCACCACCCACCCCCAGCCAAGTCCCTCCTACACACCTCCTAGTGTAGTTACTGTTTGTGGCCACTAGGAGGGCTCCCAAACACTTACACTGTACGTGGTTTGAGTTACGGTAAACGCCACTGCGGCTTGAAGGAATCACATGCTACCTAAGGATGTAACATGGGTACTGCAGTAATCCTATAACAGAGGTGGATTCTTTGTGACATCAGCATTGTAAAATATGGTAGCATGAGATGTAACCAGGTATTATTATTGTGGGCAATGTTATCTAAACCTATATTATACTGTTTGATAGATTCATAGATTAATCATCCAGGGTTAACATCGGGTTACCATATTTGATGAGATGAAAAAGAGGATGTGTCCAGGATTCAGAATATTAATGAGTTTTCGCATTCACAGGTCAATCAGGTAGCACTTCTCTCATGAATATTAATGAGTTTCCATTCCCCCCTGTAAAATGAAAATTTGCATCTGGGGAAACCTGGATGTATGGCAACCTTACAGTTAACTCTGGATTTACAATCTACAAACAAACGACACAATATATGTCTCTTCAACAAAAGTTACAAAACGCTGAGCTACAGTTTGTTAAACTTCAAGCAAACGACGCGATTCACTGTTCCCACCAAAACAAAAATTTAGTGTCAAGGTGCCAATGGGCTCCGGATAGTGACGTCGTGAGTCACTCATGAGCAGCGGAAGAGTTATGGTTGTGCATATTGTTTAATTTTTAAAGTAAACACATGCACGAGACTTGCAAATGCTGTGCGACGATACTGAGTGGCTGCCGTATAATAAAAATCGGTGCCTTTTCCTTCAATTGGTACTCCACTGTACCTTGCAACACTGGGTCATACAGGTTGCAGCGCTAAACCCAGACAAACCTCCAATTATTGAAAAACCAGATGTCTGGACAGGGACCCAAAAAGAGGACGCATCCAGGGAATCCCGGACATACGGTAACCTCTCAGGTAAAGAGTTCACCTTCAACAACAAAAAGCATGGATAGAAGTTTAATCCAAAGCTATTTCTGTTTGATTAAATCACTTACTATGTAACATGTTTACATAAAAACTAAGTTTCAGTAGGAAAGGGGTGACAGCAGATAGGTAAATGTGCTCTTTTTTCAAAACCTGTCAAAATGCAACAAGCAAATTCAATTTGTTACTTGTGTGGTGACTTCCTATATATAGAATGAAATGACAAACGTAAAACCTACATACTATTTATTCTAAATCTTAAATTTAGCATTACACTGCTTGCTAGGCCTTTGGCTGCTGATTAATTACAATTCTGTGCGCTGCACAGTGACAGTATGCTGCTGGGATTTCTCTTCATTCCTTTAGAGCCCCAATCTCAAAGGACTATGCGATATAATGAGGAGTTTGCTGTGCAACCTTGCTGTGCAGTGCTGTCCGATTTCAAATATATGTATTTAAATATGAAAATAGTCTATTAGCAGAACCATACATAAACATGTTCCATCAATCCTCATATTTTGCTTTTTGTGCATATTGACACTATTTTTTACAATCTTAGGGAAATTAATTAAATTAATTTAATTATAAAGACTTGGTCCAGAAAGTCACACTTAAAATTTTTTTTTTTAAAAGTTACAAACTACTTTAAAACCTAAGTGCATCCAAATAAATAATAAATATACATTTAAGTATTAAAAGATAACTAAACTTTATAGTAACTGAGAAAAAATGATTCACAGATTTGTAAACAACAGGTCTTTTAAATAACTCCAGCTTCAACACACAAGATTCAAAAACTGTGATCCCATCCTGTCAGACTGCCTCAAATCTCCCAGACCGTTTATTTCCTGGTCATTTATATAACGATAATGTTTCTGGGAGATTAGTAACATTAACAAAGGGCGGGGTCACTAAAGTTTAACATGTTTCATTCACGTAAACTCCTCTCAACATCTTATCATGTAGATGTTTTCTACATTTCAATTACCAATTAATAAAGATAAAAAAGTCTGGTATTTATAGATAATGGACGCCACTCGTAAACCAGTAAGTTAGTAAGCCAAGAAAAGTAAGTGAAGCTTATTTTACTTTTAAAACCTTTGCACAGACTGTGTCTAACACATACAAACATATTAAGCTAATCACCTCTGCAGTTCTTATCTTCTTAAAGCTGCAATTGCAAACAATGCCATTCAGCTCACATCTTCTTTCTGGACAGCGGCTAATCCAGTTGTCACGCTTGTCCGTGGCACACTGACTAGGCAGCAGCGTTAGAGTCGTCACTACTTTGCGTGAAGTGACTGTCTTTGTCTAGTTGTCTTATCTGTCACTTAAAACACATAATGAACTGCTTTGCCCAATAGAGGTTTCATTAGCAAGCCAATGCTGAGAGCTGCAGGGAAAAAAGATCTCAGAAAGGTAGGTTCCCCCCATCCCTTTTGATTTTGATTGATTGCAACAAAAAGTGCGTTCACCCTTTGCAGAATGATAAGTACTGTCTCCTGAACTTGGTTTGGATCCTGAGAAAATGCCCTGGGAAAGTGAAGAAGCGTGTTAAGTGTGAAATCGTGTTTGTGTTCAGGGGAATCTGCTCAATTGAGCATTTTATCTCACTTCGGCCAATTCCCAGACATGAAAAGCCAATGGTTCCCCTTTCCTTTCTCACCATCCAGTGGACCTGCAGAAAACATCTCAGTATCATAGCCATCTAATTACTGTTGATGACTCAATTTTTATGAACACCTAATTTTAATTTAATTTTTTTTCCAGAATAATTAGATTTGGACATAGTTTTCTCAAAATAGCCTACTGCACTTCATGTGATTATTTAGGCTACAAACAAATTATGCTGTAAAATATCTACGAAAGTGTTAATGAACCTACTGTATGTTATATGTGTGTGTTTCCAGATAAATATTTATGAATATAGCTGTGTTTTCGGAATAATTTGATGACCTCGCTATAAAAACGCTGGTCAGAGTACAATAAGTACCTGTTACGGGGAGTATGAAATTTCCTTTGGTTTGAATGGTTTGAATATGTCGTCTAATAATCGCAATTGAACGACAATAAATATTCTTAATTCAAAATATAGTTGAGTGAGTGAACTGACATTCAGTACATATTTATAGTGGCAGTGCCACAGCAAGAGAACAACCACAGCGAGTATATTTGGACGATGTTTGATTCATATGTGACTCTGTCGGTGTTTCACTGCCTTCCATGCGTGATGGTCAATAGCTGAACCGATCTGTAACATACCCACTTTCAGTTCTCTTCCGAAGGCAGTTCTTTCTCCAAGCGCGGAGCAGTTCCAGCGTCCACTCCTGAACTGAAACTGGCACTCGTCGATGCCCATCTGGATCCCTTCGCCAATGATAATGATGGCGTCGGGCCGGCTCTGACAGATAATCCGCTGTCGAGGAGCCAAACCAGGAATCTTGTTACAAATTATACTCGCTCCAAGCGCGACCACTGATGAGAAGCCCCTGAAAGGGAGTCAAAAGGAAAAGCAATATTTCCGGGGCCTTCCGAAAGAAATACTACGTAAAGGCCCGTAATTATCAACCTCCCGGTAATGGAAGGAATACCTCCCTCATTGATCTTATATTATGGGCAGCCGGTATCGTGGACCTCAATTTATAGATATAGACATAGCCTACGTATGTACGTATGTGTGTGTATAGCTGTGTGTAGTCATATAGGCGGATATATATATATATATATATATATATATATATATA